CCTTTACAAGTTTGGAATTCCTTTAGTCCCAAACATTTCCTCTTTCAATCTCACCTATACTCAAATCTCTCTACTTAGGCAACTTCTTCAAACATTGAAGAAACAGTGTTGAGACCCTGTCTCTTTTTACTTCAGCCTTTTTTTTTTTTTAATGAACCAAGTTATTGAAGGGCATTAAAACTGATGTTTAAAAAAAACCCACGAAATTATCTTGCAGAATCCCTCTTTGAAATCCACATTTTTCCCCTTCAGTAACTATTTTAATTCCAAAGAAAGGAAAAAAAAATTAACACTATTTCCTGAGAAAAAAAGTCTGCCTTTATTAGGCATTACACACTTGTTGACTGCATTCCTGTATTTGCCACCAGCCAATAAAGAGTAAGAAAATTATGACTGTCATGGGCTCCTCAGTAAACATCTTTCTGGATAAGTGAAGTATATATTTCAAAATAAAACAATCCTACTTTTCATGTTTTTTATTTTATTTTATTTTATTTATTTATTTTTGAGATGGAGTCTCACTTTGTTGCCCAGGCTGCAGTGTGGTGGCACAATCTTGGCTCACTGCAACCTCCACCTCCTGGGTTCAAGCAATCCTCCTTCCTCAGCCTTCTGAGTAGCTGGGACTATAGGCATGCACCACCACACCCAGCTAATTTTTGTGTTTTCAGTATTTACGGGGTTTCACCATGTTGGCTAGGCTGGTCTCGAACTCCTGACCTCAAGCCATCTGCCAGCTTCTGCCTCCCAAAGAGCTGGGATTACAGGCGTGAGCTCTGAGCCCAGTCAAAGTTAAATTTTTACAATAACTTTTATTAGTTTCAGTAAGAAACAGTAACTTTTATATACAAGTTATATATAGGTAGGGCGTGGTGGCTCACGCCTGTAATCCCAGCACTTTGGGAGGCCGAGGTGGGCAGGTCACTTGAGGTCAGGAGTTTGAGAACAGCCTGGCCAATACGGTGAAACCCCGTCTCTACCAAAAATATAAAAAATTAGCCAGGCGTGGTGGTAGGCCTCTGTAATCCCAGCTACTCAGGAGGCTGAGGCAGAAGAATCGCTTGAACCCAGGAGGTGGAGGTTGCAGTGAGCCGAGATCACCCCACTGCACTCCAGCCTGGGCGACAGAGCGAGACTCTGTCTCGAAAACAAACAACAAAATGTTATATATAAAAGTTGGCCGAGGTGAGAGGCTCACTTAAGCCTAGCAGGTGGAGGTTGTAGTAAGCCGAGATCATGGCACTGCCCTCCAGCCCAAGCTACAGAGTGATACCCTGTCTCAAAATAAATGAATAAATAAATAGGCTGGACAGTGGCACACGCCTATAATCTCAGCACTTTGGGAACCTGAGGCTGGCAGATCACTTGAGGCCAGGAGTTCGAAACCAGCCTGGCCAACATGGCAAAACCCCGTCTCTACTAAAATTACAAAATTTAGCTGGGCATGGTGGCGCGCACCTGTAGTCCCAGGAGGTTGAGGCAGGAGAATCGCTTGAACTCAGGAGACTGAGGTTGCAGGAAGCCAGGATTGTGCTACTGCATTCCAGCCTGGGTGACAAGGTAAGACTCTGTCTCAAAATAAATAAATAAACAAATAAATAAAATTTAACTGGGTATGGAAAATACACAAATTACATAAGCAAATGCATCTATAACACTTTCCACAACAGAGAAACACAGTAAGCCCTACTTGACAAGACAAAGAGCAACACAATAATGCTGTAGTTTAAAAACACCCTCCCTAGTCTTCTAGTGTTGAAGAAAAAAATTAAGTAAAATAAAAATAAAAATATGGGGCCAGGTGCAGTGGCTCACGTCTGTAATCCCAGCACTTTGGGAGGCCAGGGCAGGCAGATCACCTGAGGTCAGGAGTTCAAGACCAGCCTGACTAACATGGTGAAACCCCGTCTCTACTAAAAACACAAAAAATTAGCCAGGCGTGGTGGTAGGCCTCTGTAATCCCAGCTACTCAGGAGGCTGAGGCAGAAGAATCGCTTGAACCCAGGAGGTGGAGGTTGCAGTGAGCCTAGATCATGGCACTGCACTTCAGCCTGGACAACAAAGCAAGAATCCATCTCAAAATAAATAAGTAAAATAAAAATAAAATAGTGCTTGAACAACACATGCAGATTTTTTGTTTGTCTTTTTGAGATGGAGTCTTGCTCTGTCACCCAGGCTGGAGTGCAGTGGCACAATCCTGGCTCACTGCAACCTCCGTCCCCCAAGTTCAAGTGATTTTCCTGCTTCAGCCTCCTGAGTAGCTGGGATTTCAGGTGCTGTCTCTTATACACATCTAGATGTGTATAAGAGACAGGAGCAAGACCCTGTCTCAAAATAAATGAATAAATAAATAGGCTGGACAGTGGCACACGCCTATAATCTCAGCACTTTGGGAACCTGAGGCTGGCAGATCACTTGAGGCCAGGAGTTTGAGACCAGCCTGGCCAACATGGTAAAACCCTGTCTCTACTAAGAATACAAAAAAATTGGCCGGGTGTGGTGGCACTCCTGTAGTTCCAGCTACTCGGGAGGCTGAGGCAGGAGAAATGCTTGAACCTGGGAGGTGGAGGCTGCAGTGAGCTGAGATCACGCCACTGCACTCCAGCCTGGGTGACAGAGCGAGACTCTGTCTCAAAAAAAAAAAAAAAAAAAGTAAAAATAAAAATATGAAAACTCTCTGCATTCACAAACTTATATAGGCACAAAAGGAGTCATATGCATAGCCACAAAGTGATGCACAGATACCGCATCCTTATATCTGAACATAACATTGACTTATAAGAACCCAAAGAATTGACAAATACATTAGTAATTAGTAATTATGTATCTACCCAACCTCCCCCACCAATCCCAATAATTCCTGAATTGTCAAACCTTACAGTTATCAGGAAGAGAAGAGATTTCAACCCAAACCCACAACTATACCTCTTGTCCCTTATACTATCCTAGATTTAGAAGCTAGTTAAATTTTTCCTATACTCCAAGGTGGGAGAGGGAGTAGAGAACGAAAAGAGATTTTTAGATAGCTTCAAATACATGAAAACTCTCATAGGGAAGCAATTCATTTTGGGAATTCATTTTATTTTAATGAGTTCTGGGTAACCTGAGAGACTAGGAGGGAAAAAAATCAGGAAAGAAATTTTCACATGGTACTCTACAAGGTTTGAAAAGAATAAAGACACATGAAATATTTCCCTTTCAAATATATATGTATAATATATAATGTATTATCTATACATACATTTGATAAAGGGATGTCAGCATATGTACACATAAACATACATTGATAACCAACAAATATGTATAAACTCATATTTCATTTCTTTTTGAGATGGAGTCTTGCTCTGTCACCCAGGCTGGAGTGCAGTGGCACAATCCTGGCTCACTGCAACCTCCGTCCCCCAAGTTCAAGTGATTTTCCTGCTTCAGCCTCCTGAGTAGCTGGGATTACAGGCGCATGCCACCAAGCCCAGCAAAATTGGGGTTTCACCATGTTGACCAGACTGGTCTTGAACTCCTGACCTCAAGTGATCCACCCGCCTTGGCCTCCCAAGTGCTGGGATTACAGGCATAAGCCACCGTGCCCAGCCTCATTTCTTTTTTAAAGTAAATTTCATTGTGTATATTTAAGGTATATAACATGTTATGGGATACATATAGATAGTAGAAAGGTTACTGTAATAAAGTAAATTAATCATCCCACATAGTTATCCCTTTTGTTTCTCTTTGTGGCAAGAGGAGCTAAAGTCTGCTTATTTAGCATGAATCCCATATACATACAATTTTATTAACTATGGTCCTCATGTTGTACATTGGATCTCAGGATTTGTTCATCCTACATATCTACTACTTTGTATCCTCTGACCTATAGCTCCTCATTTCCTCTCCCCTCTACCCATATTTCTTTAGGATATAAACAGAATGAGTACCACATAGACTAAGCCCATAAATCAACACTAAGTGTTTTGGGTCTAAACATTTACCCACTGCATTGATCAGACACTTTTGTTTAAATCTACCTGTAATGGTCTCATTGGTACATGAGAAAGCAGCAGGAATTGTTCCTCATCCTCCAACATTCCATTAGATGAGCAAAAGATTCCCTAAATGTCCATGTCACATTTTTTTCTTAAAAGAACAGCTATAACACGAAGAGAGGGTAAAGCGTCTTCTTCCTGCTACAGCATGAAATTCCTCCTAATCAGTATGCTGTGTGCCCTGAAATGCCAGAAACTGCCAAATATATTCCTTGTCAAATATGGACAAGATTGTCCATCTCTCCCCAGATTGCCCAGGGACAGCACAACTCTCAGGCAGCCATGGGTTAATCATAAAGACTCCTAGGGTCACTGCAAAGTCTGGCTATCTGCAGAGCTCCAAGTATCAGCTCAAATGCAAGATCCAAAGTATCACAGCGCTCTGTGCCTTAATCCCAAGGTGCGATGTCTCTCAAGACTCCTTCTCTATAGGCTGGGTGGGGTAGGATCTGTAGTCTAGAAGAATATACGCAGCTCTTGATAAACTGTTGTGGCTTCACTGACTATCTATGATTTCAGCTATCTAATACTACTGGTGGTATGGGTAGGAGGGAAGGTTGGGGAGAGAATGGAAACAGTTAATCAACAAATAAAATAATCTTGTAGGGGGTGGGGTGGACTGGGGGACAGGGTCTGAGATGACATATTATCCTTGTGGAGACTGATACATCAGCAGGAAGTCAAACTAACTTCATTTCATAAGGATACAAACTTGCAAGCTTGATTTGTTTTTAATTCCCCTGTCTTTTCAGGCCTCACAAAGACTGTAAGTTCCTTGAACTCCAGAACCAGGTGAGAAAAGATGCCGAAAGAAGTAGTGGAAAAGGGAGAAGCACGGTGAGGAATTAGGAATCTTGAGAGAGAAATCCCCTTCCCCTCTTTAAAAAGAATGTAAAAACCAAGGGCATTGCCAGATCCCGAGAAAAAGAAGTAGCTAGACACCAAAAAAGCGCTTTTCCCTACCTTCTTGTTGTTTCTATTGTAGCCAAAAGTCGAAATCCCAGGCCTGGAAGTCACCGATAGCAGCATTTTCTCTTTAATGTTAGGGAACGAGTGAGAGAGAGCGAGAGAAAGGGAGGGGGTAAGAAAGACGGGGAGGGAGGGAGGGAGGGAGGAGGGGAGCGAGGGAAAGGGGGAGAGGGAGGGAGGAAAAAAGGGAGGGGGAGGAGAAAGGAGGAGAAAAGGAGCAGGAGGGGAGAGATGAAGGGGGGCTGCGGGCAGAGAATGAGCTCGGGCTGCTCCTTTACGTCACTGAGAGAAGTTAACAGAGTCTGAATGAGGCAGAGGCACTTCGACTGGGTCCTAATGCCCAAGATGTTATTTTTTGTTTGTTTTTCACAGTCTCAGGAGTTAAAGCTAGAAAGCAGAGTTCTTAGGTCTAACCCCTTTCAAATTTATCCCCTTTCCTCTATGAACAAGTTCTGATTCTCATATAAAGACAACAAGGGCTTTATTTCCACCCTTAGATCTCAGCTATAAGATTTCAAGCTTGATTTTAAAGGGGCTCCTGAGACATTGCCTTGGAGAACACGTTAAAAAAAAAAACAGAGTTAGAGACAGAGTGTTTGAGATAAGCTCAGGGCTTCCCCTACTTTACATTTACAGTGATTTTTTTTTTTTTTTTTTAGACAAAGTTTTACTCTGTCACCCAGGCTGGAGTGCAGCAGTGCAATCCTGGATCTGGCTCACTGCAACCTCCACCTTCCGCAATTCTCCTGCCTCAGCTTCTCGAGTAGCTGGGATTACAGGTACCCACCACCACATTCAGCTGATTTTTGTATTGTTTAGTAGGGATGGGGTTTCGCCATGTTGGACAGGCTGGTCTCGAACTCCTGACCTCAAGTGATCTGCCCACTCAACCTCCCAAAGTGCTGGGATTACATGCGTGAGCCACCACACGTAGCCTGTTTGCAGTGATCTTAATATACAAAGGAACAAACAGAGGAACACACCAAAGAGCAGAGCTAAGCAAAACAGAGTATGGGGTATAACTAGTTTCAGATTCTTAGATCTGTTTCTCTTGGCTCATACCAATGGGCTGATGCCCCTCACCCCTATTTCAGATTCTCCAAGGAATGATCAAACTGGACTATATCATGAAACTTGGGGCCTAGGCATTTCTTTAACAATTGCAGGCTATCTTATTTAACACTTTACCCTACTATTTCCTCGTCTTTAAGATCCATGAAACTGAAACAATTACAGTAACTCACCAAACCTGGAATTTATGTCTAAATTGATGTCCACAGTTGGGATATCTGCTTCGAGTTGTCTTTGAGCTGTCAAAAAAACCCCAAAAAAACAGAAAAAAAAAACCTACTTAAAAAGCATATGCTTCAAACAGAATAAAAACACAAAATTCTTAGGAAGGGATATAAATTTCAGAGTCAAGAACCTAATAGAGTTGCAACACTTACCTCTATTAGTTTCCAAAGAATGTCTTTGTAGGAGTAACCTTAACAAGAAAGGAAACCAAAAACTTCAGAATGATATCCAGTAACCCCTACCAATCCAAGTGGAATAGAGATATAAAATGAAAGCCTTCAAATCCATTCATAAGGCCACCTTGCTGCCATCCTAAGTATTCTCTTGAGATATAAATTAACCCTGTCTGTTTTATGACAACAAATATTAAGCCCAAACCCTCCCTCAAATGAAGTTCTGGTCTCTATTCTAGTTTCCCTGTCACTTTTTTGCTATGATAATGGAACAGACAGTATTAGCATTCTGCAGAGTAAATATACATACCCTACCCCCAATCTCTAACTTTCATTTCCAATAGGACAGGAAGTGCCTGCTCAGCTCAAGGGACACAGGAAGGGTGGGACAGCCTCAGTGTGGGAATTGCAACTGAGATTGGAAACACAGCAGCCAAATGCAGTAAATAAATAAATGAAGACATCGCTCAGTGATACTTTTTTTTTTTTGAGACAGAGTCTTGCTCTGTTGCCCAGGCTAGAGTGCAGTGGCAGTATCTCAGCTCACTGCAACCTCTGCCTCCCAGGTTCAAGCAATTCTCCTGCCTCAGCCTCCCCGGTAGCTGGGACTATAGGCGTGCCCCAACATGCCTGGCTAATTTTTGTACTTTTAGTAGAAATGGGGTTTCACCATGTTGGCCAGGCTGGTCTCGAACTGCTGACCTCAGGTGATCTGCCTGCCTCAGCCTCTCAAAGTGCTGAGATTACAGGTATGAGCTACTGAGCCTAGCCCCAGTATATATTTTTTAAGTCCCTTTTCTGCTCTCAGAGACTCTCAACCAATTTATCCTTGCTGTTTAGGCCCTTGGATGATATCTTCTCCTTTACCCTAACAATGTGGTACAGAAATCTTTCTCTTGAAGGCCTGACTCATAAAGGCAATCAACCCAATTTAACCTTTTCTTTTTTAAGTCTAATTTTTCTTTCTACTTTTTGTTTTTTTTCCCCCTGAGACAGAGTCTCACTCTGTCGCCAGGCTGGAGTGCAGTGGTGCAATCTCGGCTCACTGAAATCTCTGCCTCCCAGGTTCAAACGATTCTCCTGCCTCAGCCTCCTGAGTAGCTGGGACTACAGGCATGCGACACCACGCCCAGCTAATTTTTGTGTTTTTAGTAGAGACAGAGTTTCACCGTGTTGGCCAGGATGGTCTTGATCTCTTGACCTCATGATCCGACCACCTCGGCCTCCCAAAGTGCTGGGATTACGGGCATGAGCCACTGCGCCTGGCCTTTTTTGTTTTTGAGACAGAATCTCGCTCTGTGGCCCAGGCTGCAGTGCAGTGGCACGATCTCAACTCACTGCAAGCTCTGCCTCCTGGGTTCAAACGATTCTCCTGTCTCAGCCTCCTGAGTAACTGGGATTACAGGCACACGCTGCCAAGCCCGGCTAATTTTTTGTATTTTAGTAGAAACAGGGTTTCACTGTGTTGCCCAGGCCTGTCTCAAACTCCTGAGCTCAGGCAATCCAACCGCCTCGGCCTCCCAAAGTGCTGGGATTACAGGCATGAGCAGCTGCACCCAGCTGAGAATTTTTTTTTATAATAGTCATCCTAATAGGTGCGAGGTGGTATCTCATTGCAGGTTTTCTGACTGTTGTTGTTTGTAAACTGATAGTTCATAATTGTATGTGTTTATGGGTACAAAGTGAAGTTATGACTTATACATATAATGTAGAATAATTAATTCAAGCTAATTAACATATCTATCACCTCAAATACTTACTATTATTATTATTTTTTAGATAGGGTCTGGCTCTGTCGCCTGGGCTGGAGGACAGTGGCGCGATCTTGGCTCACTGCAGCCTCTGCCTCCCAGGCTCATTATCTTTTTTTTTTTTTTTTTTTGTGAGACAAGAGTCTTGCTCTGTCACCCAGGCTGGAGTGCAGAGACAAGATCTCAGCTCACTGCAATCTCCACCTCTCGAGTTCAAGCCATTCCCGTGCCTCAGCCTCCCAAGTAGCTGGAATTACAGGTGCACAACCACCATGCCTGGCTAATTTTTGTATTTTTAGTAGAGACAGGTTTTCATCATGTTGGCCAGGCCGGTCTCAAAATCCTGACCTCAAGTGAAGCAAGTGATCCACCTGCCTCAGCCTCCTAGAGTGCTAGGAGCCACCAAGCCCAGCCTACTTATCATTTTTGTGGTGAGAACACGTGAAATTTACTCTTTTAGCAATTTTGAAATGTATAATACACTATTATTAACAATTTTAACCACACGTGCAATAGAGCTCACAAAAAAACTCTTATTCCTCCTAAGAGTTTGTACAGTTTGACCAGCATCTCCCCATTTCCTCCATCCCCCGACTTGTGGGGGTTTTATTGGGTTTTTTTTGAGACGTAGTCTCACTCTGTTGCCCAAGCTGGAGTGCAGTGGCACGATCTTGGCCCACTGCAACCTCCACCTCCCAGGTTCAAGCGATTCGCCTGCCTCAGCCTCCTGAGTAACTGGGACTACAGGCACACGCCACCACGCCCGGCTAATTTTTGTATTCTTAGTAGAGACAGGGTTTCACTATGTTGGCCAGGCTGGTCCTGAACTCCTAGTCTCGTGATCTACCCGCCTCGGTCTCCCAAAGGGTTGGGTTTACAGGCATGAGCCACCGAGCCCGGCCGGTTCCCCAGCTTTCTGTAACCACCATTCTATTTTCTGCTACTGTGAGTTGATTGTTTTAGATTCTATGTATAAGTGAGAACTTACAGTATTTGTCTTTTTGTGCCTGGCTTATTTCACTTAATGTAATATTCTCCAATTCCATCCATGTTGTCACAAATGACAGAATTTCCTTCTTTTTTAAAGTTGAGGCTAAATGAGGCAGCTCACACCTATAATCCCAGCACTTTGGGAAGCCAAGGTGGGAGGATCACTTGAGCCCAGGAGTTCAAGACTAGTCCAGATAACATAGTGAGACCCCATCTATACAAAAAATAAAAAAAAAATTAGCCAGGTATGGTAGTGCACATCTGTGGTCCCAGCTACTTGGAAGGCTAAGGTGGGAGGATTACTTGAGTCCAGGAGTTGGAGGCTGCAGTGAGCAATGATTACGCCACTGCACTCCAGCATGGGTGACAGAGTGAGACCCTGTCTCAAAAATAAATAAATAAATAAAGTTGAATAGTACTCCATTGTGTATATATAGCATATTTTCTTTATACATTAATCTGTTGATGTCTTGGCTACTCTAAATAGTGCTGCAATAAACATGGGAATGCAGACATCTGTTCAATGAACTGATTTCAAATCTTTTGGGTAAATACCCAGAAGTGACATTGCTGTTCTTGAACAAGCGAGACCAAGCTGGTCTTGAACTCATGGTCTCAAGCGATCCTCCCACTTTGACTTTCCAAAATTCTAGGTTACAGGCATGAGCCACTGTACCCAACCCAATTCTAATATTCCTAATGTGTTATAGTCTCACTTTTCATTCCTTAATGCTTAATGATACCTTAGAATTTTAAGTAGTTGAGACTTCACCCCTATAAAAAAAAAAAGGGTGGTGGGGCAAGAGACCAGGCATAGTGGCTCACGTCTGTAATCCAGCACTTTGGGAGGCTAAGGTGGTTGGATTGCTTGAGCTCAGGAACCCAAGACCAGCTGGACAACATGGTGAGAGCCTCGTCTCTATTAAAATATATATATATACACACACACACACACACACACACATATATATATTTGTTTTAAATAGTTAATGCCAAGCACATGGCTTGTGTCCATAATCACAGCTACTCAGGAGGCTGAGGCAAGAG